TAACTTGCAAATTATGAGGGCAAGACTTTTAAAGTTTAAATCTTCTGGCAAAGATAAAGTAAAGATGATCCTGCAATTTATAGAAGTAAAGCAGAATAAAATCCAGCAAGATCAGTAGGGATGGGAATCGAAAACCGGTTCCTGTTCAGAACCGGTTCCGTATTTTCCGATTCCATGGCATCGATTGGCAGCTCGCTGAACGATTCTTTTTTCGATTCCCGCAGCACCAGAGCCTAGAGCGCCGGCTCTGGGGAGCACGACTTACGTCACGTTTTTTACGTACGTTAGGTAAGTTACGCAAGTTACGCAAGTTACGCAATTTGGAAATAACTATTCGAGGAGGAAGACAGCGAGCTGCGGTCACTTTTTGAATCAAAGCCCCGTCTTTCCTTAGCCCAGAGGGTAGATCAGGAAATCCAGCTCTATAAAAGCTTGCCCTCCATCCCCTGCAGGGATAGCGCCACACTGTGGTGGTGGAACAAGCAAGATACGCTGCCCTTGCTATCTGGACTGGCTGAAAACTACCTCTGTGTGCAGGCTTCCTGCACCCCATCTGAGAGGGTGTTCTCCACGGCTGGAGACACCATAAGCCCTGAAAGATCCTGTATCCTTCCAGAAAAAGCAGATATGCTCATCTTTCTGCAAAAGAACTGTTAATTTTCCCTACTACTGTTTTATAATTAGTATTTTTTGTTATTTAAAATAGGTTATTATCCCATCATTTGTTATTAGACATTGTTGGTTATTAAGTTTGTTCTTGTATTCATTTTTCATTTAAACACAGATGTTACTCCAGTTTCACATTTCCTGTGGACATCTTGATCTTGTTGAGTTTGTAAGATTGTGCAATAGTTAAGTAAACAAAGTTGATTCTGATAATCAAACTGTTTGTTCTCCTTTTTCCCCCAAATTGGAATCGAAAAAAGAATCGATAAAGAATCGAATCGTTTCATAGAATCGAAAAGGGAATCGGAATCGTGAAAATCTTTTCAATTCCCAACCCTAAAGATCAGTAATATGTCAATTAATTATATGCCACATTCCCATGTAAATATCTGTCTTTGGAGGATGTGTTTTTTAGCACCCCTAGTTCTCTCATTTTTATTCCAAATACAATTTATAATTTGAATCACAGGGCTATTTTTATCTCTGGTTCAGTATTTTCTCAAGTAGCAACTTTAACTGCTGTACTTTCCTGTCTTAAAAGGCAGAACTCTTCTAGTCTAAAAAAACTCATTTGTTGAAATGGGGGGACCTATTGTTTGAACCCCTTAGGGGCTTTTAAAAACAAAAATGTCTTTTTTTGCGCTTTATGAAACAAAGTACCCTATATTTTGTGGATGTACAGCTACATTTCTCATGTAAGTTTGCGTAGTTTTAACAGAAACATTTATTTTTCATATTGCACCAGTACAGTTAATGAGCAACCTGTACTTGTGTGCTTGTTTATTCTGTCTATAATGTTTATTTTGGAATAAAGAGGTTAATATAAAAAATATTTTTTGTCCGATTCATCGATTAATCGAAAAAATAATCGTCCGATTCATCGATTTTTAAAATAATCGTTAGTTGCAGCCCTAGATGACTCCTACTTTAGTGTGTGCAATTTTCTTGTACGTAAGATTTATTCTCATGACAAAACATCCATATTTTACTTACAATTATTTATTTATTTATGGTTAAGTAGCTTGAGGTCCACTAAGTGTGATGATCTAACAGTTAGTGGTGCAGAAGTAAGAAGGGTCTGCCCCCGACCAAGAGCAAATTTGATATTTCCATTATAGTTCAGAACCTATCAAATTAATTCATTATTAAAAAAAAGTGGTCAACTAATTTAATAATCGAATCATCACCTCAGCAATGGGATAAAGACTTGAAAACATGCAATTAGCTGAGTCGTTTTAACTTTTAATATTACATAGTGCAAGGAAAAGCATTACTGATTGTAAAAAATACTTTTATTTTAGTGAATACCTCAAATACTGCAATGCAATGGAAAAAAAAGCAAAGATGAAAGCCGTATTACACCTCATAGATGAGCACATTGGCTGCATAGTTAGAACTCAAAGATGTAGACTGGTTTAGTCCAGTTTTGGACCCTCTTGGGCTCAGAAATAAGTCAAAGGGAGGAAATAATAAACAATGCAGTACCTCACAGCAGGAGGCCTAAGTTAATAAAGGAGATGTTTTCTTTCTAGACTAACATATCATATGTGGTAGTATAAAACAAAAAAGAGCACATGCAAAAGGACACATGGGATTCAATTGTTTAAGGTGTATATTCATACTGTACACCCTCACCTGAGGTAACACTTTAAGGAACCCGCTTTCTCTGCTATTATAGATGCAACTCTTTTGACAAATGTCTCAACCAGCTTTGCACATTTGGTGACTGATTTGTTCCTCCATTCTGCTCGGTGAATTAGCTCAACTTCTTTATGAATCAAAGGAGAGAGACTGTGAACAGCGGTCTACAAGTAAAGCCACATTAATTAATAAAGTATAATTGAATTGAATAGAATTTTTTTAGCTTCCCTTCATTGAAACCAAGTTCTTATTCATCTTAAAAACCCTTTTGCAGGTCTTTGTACCATTTGTTACATTTCTACCTTATTGTAACTGTATTAACCTCTTAGGTAAGTCTCATTAACTATGATCAGTTCCTCAAAGCATTTAAAAACACAGAAGAACAGAATCTAGTCAAAAGGTCACAGATACTAGCCGATCCTAATTTATAAAAACTGTTATATTAGTATATTACTTTTTTAAATGAAAAAATGTAATTTATTCCTTAGCATATGCTGGTGATCGTGGATGTGAAGCAAAATTTCTTCAATCTTGGAAAGCAATGTCCGGTGGTGTGTTTTTGAACTTTTTTTGGGATTCCTTAGCATACTCTGACACCCAGACTTTCTAATTTATTTTTTTTATATCAGGATTTTTTCTTTGAACTTATTACAAAATTTGTGTATGCCATAACTAGACTTACTTTGGTCCATGTTGTTTAAATGCTGTGATTTACAAACTGGGCGTCACATCATTAAGAAGGAAAATTTAGAGCTGGGTTTAGACTTGAACTCACATGAATGTGATTCAATCAAGATTATTTTAATGTAGCTCTGGATGTTTGTCAAGAGTTTTTGTCCTGCTGGAGGTTGAATTTTTACCGCAATCACAAATTCTCTGCAGTCTTCCACAAGAATACCAGAACAACTGTGTGGATAATGACATTCTATAGAGTCAACACAGATTAACACCATGAGGTGACTTCTTAAGGGAGGTTAAATGTTCGCACTGGGTCCATTTAGAGACATCAGAGAAAACGGGATGCATATAAATCCCATATTGTTCAGATTTGCATTTGTAAACACAGACAACTATTGTAAAACCAAGTGTCACACCCCTTCCATGCTTTGATGGTCTTCCCTTTAAAACAACAATGAAATATATAACATTTTATAATGGGTCAAAAAGTGAATTAGTTGAAGGGAAAAAAGTTTTTTGCGAGGCATTGTTTAGAATGACATTCGGTTTTTCTCCACTTTTTTTTCTTTTAATTTAAACATGAAAACTAAAGTTTTTTTTTTACAAGAATGGAAGATTCTGCTACCTAATTAAGGAATCGTTGTGCTGCATCCACATTATTTGTGCATAAATCTATTTCTTTCATTTCCTGCTCTGTGTTATAATTTTTCCTTTTTTTTTATCACTTTTCATCGTAAAACGTGAAGGTACCCCACAGGTTCTATAAGACACAAAGCTCAGTTAGGATCAAACTGTGTGCTGTGACTGCATAAGAGCCTTAGCATAAGGCAGGCATCCTGGCCAGACTCTTCAAGGCAGTGAATCACATACGCTCACAACAGAGGTGAAGTCAATTAAACTCCAAGATGGGATATGTGCACGGCATGTGCATGAGGATGTGGGAGTTAGTTTAAATCTGTTTAATGTACCAAAAACTATGTTTTTGGGAAAACCATGTGTTTGATCCATGTAGGGAATATATCTAAACATTTAGTCCATTCTACATTTAAAAAGGAGAAGGATGAGCTGCAAGCACTTTTGCAATTAAAAATGACCTAGAGGTCTCCATCCAGAACAGCAGACATCTCAGGAACAAGGAGTGAAAGTAATTAACATTTGTTCTCTACTTTTAAATGACCATTTCTCTTTGTTGTTGTTGTTGAAAGGTCAACATTTATACACCTGAATCCTGATGACTGAAGTCAGGTACTATCAGGAGAAAAATAATCACCTTAATTGAGAGGATCATATTCCCAAAGAGCCTTTTAAGTCTATTCTTTTTCCCACAGGAAACCAGGGATTCATTAGCCAGACCACCAGCTGCCCTCAGATCTCTGCTGTGTATGCAGCCAGCTAAACAGCCGAAACAGATGCTGTTGTTCTCATGCTTCTAGCACTAATTGAATGGTGCAATGTCACTTGCTTCAGACAACAAGATTTAGCCCGTGCCTAATCATTCACAATCAGTAATAAGTCCTTTAGAAATATATTTACCTACAGCTGCTTTTCCAAAGACAGATCTTTTATAACTTTATATAGAAAACAGTTGCAGGGTTTCAGGTGACTTTTTAGCAGGTAAAATGACTTGACAGAGTTAATAAAGCCCAGTGACTTTGTGGCACTAGATAATCTTTATCATATTAAATTATTCATGAGAAAATTTGTATTTAAGACCAAAGCTGCTGTGGGTGAGTTAAACAGGTGCACCTAAGCCAATTTCAAAAGATGTGATTAAAAAAAGATATTAACTTTATTTACAGGGTATAGATTTTAGACAGACTGTCCTGCAGTCAGCGTGTCTCCAGTGAGATATAGACCCCCCAAAAGCAAACTCTCCTATGTGACAATCTCATTTTAAGTGGGCAACAGTATTTACTTTTTCTTACATTATTATGTGTGTGGGTGAGTGTGTTGGTGGGCTGCACAATTCACAGCACTTCAAAAAAAAAAGGCAGATAAGGTGAAATGATGCTTACCTCCCCAAAGTAACACCAACGACTGCAGCAGCAGGATGTGCAACATGTTTCTCCGTATCATAAAGCAGGAATTCCCCTCTAAAAATGAATGCATCTCCAGATTTCTTAGTATTAACAGAGGAAGTCATCCAGCATCCATAGAAAAATCGAACGCATATTTTCTGGGATACCTGCCATGCTTCGTCCGAGGTATTTGTTTCCAATCAAGCTGAACTGGACAGAGCAAAAATGAACAATATTTAATTCTATACAGAAATGTTTCACATTAAATGAATGAAAACTTGCTTGTTTGCTTCAATCCTTTCAGCATTTTTAACGCTTTTCCATAGGGGGATTCTTGGGAGGTCGAATGCAATGATGCTCAGTTCAGAATTACTTTCTTTTCATCTTCAATTTCATCCAAAAATGAGAAAAGATTCTCAGTTTCTCCTTTATGGATGTTCTGTTTGTTTGGATGCTCCCATAAGTTGTTTGCGGCGGAGTGCGTAAAGTCCGAAAGGAGGCTGTGTTATTATCATCATGCGTCCTGAAAGACTCGGTGGAATTTAAAAAGTTATTTTTGTGCCAGAAACCAGCAAACATCCGCGCCTTCGTCGTTTCATTAAAGTCCTGTGCGCAACTCCAACAACGTCTGGAAACCGCTATTATCAGTCCTTACTGGACTCTGGTTCGGGGTGTTTCTTGGATTTCGCAGAAGTCCGACTTCAGAGCTTCATCTTTCCGTGTTTGTGTGGAAAGCCAAGAGTCCAGTGTGCAGAGTAGAGAGCGTATGCGCTGCCAGCCGCGTCCAATGCGCGCAGCGAGACGCGCAGAGGGGGGAAGGAAGCGGTGACAGCATCTGCCCGCGGCGCTCCACGGGAGGCGTCTTCCACAAATCCCTCAACTAGAGAAGACAACTATTATTTCAACTATCTGGAATAACTATAACACAAAGCACTGGTTAGGTGACCCTCTTATTATTCCACTCAGATCATTTCATCTTTACTGCAAAGATCCATGAATTCCTTTTCAGCATCATTAATGTGTTTCCCATGTGCGCCCCAAATTAAAAGCATAAAAAGTTGTTATCGGACATGAGTAACCCATTGCATGATTGCACCACTTGGCAGGCACTAGCGACCCCGTGCGGCGTGGGAAAGGCAGTGTGCATGGAAGTGGAGATCTTGGACTGAAGATTAAAAAAAGTAGCATCAAATGCATTTTGAAAGATTCGAGGTTGAATCAAAGGAAATCAAACTGCCAAATACTATCTACATTTAGTCCTCTTAGATTTCATTCATATTCAGTGTGATGCTGTCATTTTCTTTCCTCTTGTTTATATGGCTGTTTTTCTGGCTCCATTGTGTGTCTCATGGTGCTTTAGTTATCTGGTTTAAATATAAAAAAAGACAATTTTCCACTCATAAAATCATCAAAACTAAAGCAACAAAATTTGTTTATTACAGTAATCTAGCAGTTGATTAAACAAGGAGTTTCAAAGTTGAATTTTTTGTATTTCATTTTGAAGCAGACCAGATGGTGTAGTGAAATGCAGATAAAGAATAATCCATGAACACTAAACACAGAAAAAATATAGGATGAGTCACCCAGAGTCTTATCCTTCAGAGGATTTGTTTTCACGGCGGCAGTGATGTCTGCCAGTGTTGTGCTCAGTGTAATGTAATTACCAAACACAAGTGCCTTGCTAAAGTATTCATTGAACATTTTTCATATTTTAACAGGATTCAGCCTCAAACTTCAATTTATTTTGAAGGGATTTGATGTGGAATACAATCACCTTTTGCTTCGCAGCTGCAGTTGTTTTGGGATATCTCTCTACATGGTTTGCACAGAGACTGAAATCTATGCAAATTCTTCTTTGCAAAAGAGCTGAAGCATTAATAAAAGCATTAATAAAATACAGCCTTTGTGAACACATTTTTCCCACAGCTTCTTGGTTTGATTTGGCTCCAAGCTTGACTAGACTTTTCTGACATATATAAATTCTTTCATTGTAGCTCTGCTTATAGGTTTGTTGTCATTATATTTTTTTTATCTTAATGGTGTGTTTATCACTTTGGTTTAGATCAGTTTAGGCTGCAACAATTTTGAGTTTTTGCAGTCTTTTAAAGCTGAAATTCCCACTTTTTTCTACTGTACAATTGCTATTTGTATTTCGTTTGAATTCATATTCTACTATTTATCTTTGTGTTTTGTTAAGACTATTTTTGTCAGCTGTTTTTCTTGAGGTTCATTTCTGTCTTGATTTATATGTTTTTTGTCAGCTCCTCAGTTTAGTTTAGTCTGTACTTTCTGACCAATGTTATCTGATTTTTATTTAATCACCTCCCCAGCAGTTTAAGCGAATCTGTTTAATAATTTCCTTGTCAGATCTTGATGCTATCTGTCATTCCTTTCTTTCTCTGAATGTGCTCCTGTATCCTGTTATTCTTCAGTTCCTGTTCTACCAATTTATACATTTTAAGTGCTAAATGTAAATAAGTTATTCTTCTGATCAACATCAGCCCTGCTCCACATATGGGGGGTTCTAGAAAGGGGCCGACGGGGGCCAGTGCCCATGTCCTGGCCCCTGTACCGAAAATATAACACTAAAAGAAATTCTAATGACAATATGTACTTGAACAGACATGGTCCTTTGGATCTATTTAATTTTTTTTCTTCAAAAAATTCTGCTTTACTAAATATTTAAAAACAAAAAGGTGATAGCTTCAGTCGTATTGAGATAGGATCCCAGTTTTAATCTGCTAAATGTTTTTTTTCAAAACAAAAAATATAATAAAAATTTTTACAGCTGAGATTATTTATTTATTTGTTTTTGTTCTAGTTCTGATTTTATAGAAAACTGTAATTTTAACTACAATTAAGTTAAAAATATGTAAAATTCCTAAATTATGAATGTATATTGACCTAATATTCCAAATATTAGCTTTATTTGATCTTTTGGATATTGATATAGCTACGGAATTTTTATTTTTATTTTAACGATAATCCAAATCAACATTTTCAAGCCAAAAATAAATATTTCCTGTAGGAAGACACTTAGTTTTAATTAAACCTAATTGAATGGAAATTTTACTTCATGCATTTCTTTTTATATATTTGAATCCCTTGGCCTTTTTTTTGTTTGTTTGTTTTTTTTTCATGCTTTTCTGTGCCCCCATGAAAACATGCCCCCTGGTACATTTGGTCTAGAACCGCCACTGGTTCCACAACGTTGGACATGTTAAGGTTCGTCTCCTGCTGAAAAGTGAACATCTGGTGGATTCTTCAAGTGCAATGTTTTACAGCGAGGATTGTGTGTTCAGGGTTATGTGTGTTGGGTTTTTTTCCATCACATAGTTCTCTTATGGTCACATCCTACCAGAGCTCTTTCTTCCAAGTGTGGTCTTCCCCATCATCATCAGCTTTCTTTTAGCAATGTCCTTTTTCTTGTCTCTTTTTCTTTGTCTTTCCAAACCCAGAGATTTGCTGAGCGCAAATAGTTCTCACATCCCCCCCAGCTATGGATCTAGGTAGCTCCACTAGAATAATTATGAAAAGCTTAGCCCCTTCTCTAATTAATGCTCTGCACTCAAAATATCAGAGCTATATGACCTTCACTAAGCATATAGATTTATTCTCAAATTAATATTCCATTGTTAGTTTAAAAAACACCTTTGACTTCACATATGTCTTGATATTGTACATCAAATTTTCAATAAAAAGAAAAAAATAGGTTGGTGGTTGCAGCCTGATAGAAAATAAAGTAGAAAACGACATATGAACAGTTTTGCAAGGCACCATCAAAAGTAATTCTCTGCTCCTTCCTTCTTACAGCCGCAGTTTTTATTCTAATTTTAGGCTTCTCTCCATGGTTTACTTCAAATTCCCACTTCCCTCCTTGAAAGCTAAGCTTTTACCTCTCCCTAAATGTGAGCTATTTGTTCCTGGAAACAACTGCTCCCCTTATACAGCTGCAAAAAGCATTAGAGGTGCAGGGAACAAGAGTGTTGATGCAGAACTGTCACTTCGCTTGCGGTAATGATGGACTGGAACGTCATTTACACAAAGGCTGACAGACGTCCAAAATTCTCCCCCTTCTAGAGGCCGACACTCAGTCAAAGCCCATGAAGCCCACACTCCGCTGAGGCCCATTCAGCTGCCGGAAAAGCAGAGCTGGTGCCAGGCAGAACTCAAGTGGATTAAGTTACATGGTCTGTAGCTGCAAGTCATTGAAAAAAAAAAGCAAACCTTTCAGTTCAACACATGGTAAGTCCATTTCTCAGCCTAAATTATCAACACATGTACCAGCTCACACGCACTTAATTTTTTCCTTTGCATGAAGAGATATACATTCAAAGCCATGGGAATGAATTTTAGAAAGACAGAAAGGAAAAAAAATGCTTGCAAATTTGCCTTATTTAGATCGACAAATCTCTACATCAGAAAGCTCTTACAATTTCATATGTGTAAATAAAAATGTTTTATATTGATAAGCTTAAAGCTACAAAATAGACACTACATAAAAATGCCAAAGATAATAGACAGAGCAAACTGCACACGCAGAGTTCTTTCTTTTCGACTTAACATTTGCTTTTAAATATACAACATATTGGAGCTTTGATATACTGGAATGTTTAAATACTTCAGATGATTTACATGTGTAGTATATCATTGCATCTGTATTGATGCCTTTTTCCACATTTCATCAATTCAAGACCACAAACATTTACCCCTTAATGTACGACCTTGTTCTTTTGCTGTTTTAAGTAGAGAGGTCAATATGCATGCGGCATGTATTTGATAAAACTTTAAGCATTTAGAATACAAATTAGCTTAATTGTACTGTAAAATGCTTCCAATGTGGTTCTTGATATAAGTTCAATATGCTTAAACTGGCAGTGATGGTGACAGTGATAGACCAGCATCCTGTCCAGGTTGGAGCCCACCTGTTGTCTAATGACCCCTTGAGATAGACGTTAGCCTCCCAACAACCCTGCATAGATGTGGCAAATAAGAGGAAATAAAAAAGTAGCATTAATGATACAAATAATTAATTTTGGCTTTTTTGTAGGCAAATTTGCAACAATCATGTATGAAGCTTTCGTGTATTTTTGTGGTTAGATTGAATACAGCAACGCAAAGTGAATTATGCTGAGCTAAAGGAAAAGATCCATAGATTTAAATATTCAAACTGTATCAAACATTTACTTTCCATCCTAATTGTATTTATTTATTTATTTTATTTGGCATGTGTTTCTTTTGGGGTATACCTCTTTTTCCTATAGACACTAAGAGATTGACTGTGGGGGACAAAGCATTCAACAGTAATACATTTAAAAGTATTGATACTTATAGTCCAATCTTACTCAACCAGAAGTAAAAGTTACTCAGGTAATTATATACTCAAGTTAGTATTGAAATACTTAAGTATCCAAAAGTACAAATTCAATTTTCTAATATCAGTACATTTCAGGTACATTTTTTAGTGTAATTTTAAAGAATCTTGTAACTTTCACAAATGCTACAAATTCCACACCAGCTGTAAAGAACTTCAGCATAAAACTCCCACAAACAAACAAACAAACAAAAAATAAATAAATAAGGAAAGCTGATTTGATTATTTCTCCTTTCAAAATAAAACTAAAA